TTTCTCTAGTTGCAGAGTAGGGGCTGCTCTTCGTTGCGGTACGTGGGCTTCTCATTGCAGTGGCTTCTCTTGTTGCGGAGCATGGGCTCTAGGCAGGTGGGCTTCAGTAGTTGTGGCTCGCAGGCTCTAGAGCATAGCCTCTGTAGCTGTTGCACACGGGCTTAGTTGCTCCGCGGCATGTGGGATCTTCCCGGACCAGGGCTCGAACCCGTGTCCCCTGCATTGGCAGGTGGATTCTTAACCACTGCACCACCAGGGAAGTCCAGATGAATATTATTTTATTAGAATGAGACAGAGTTCAGCATCGTCTTTTTTTTTTTAATTTATTTTTGGCTGTGTTGGGTCTCCAATGCTGCACACGGGCTTTCTCTAGTTGTGGTGAGCGGGGGCTACTCTTCATTGCGGTGCGCGGGCTTCTCATTGCAGTGGCTTCTCTTGTTGTGGCGCACGGGCTCTAGGCACGTGGGCTTCAGTAGTTGTGGCTCATGGGCTCTAGAGTGCAGGCTCAATATTTGTGGCGAACGGGCTTAGTTGCTCCGCGGCACGTGGGATCTTCCCAGACCAGGGATTGAACCCATGTCCCCTGCATTGGCAGGTGGGTTCTTAACCACTGCGCCACCAGGGAAGTCCTAGCATCAAGTCTTCTTTGTTTTATTTCACCTCTTCCATCCTCTAACCTTAGTTGTAGGAGGGCTTCTCAAAACCAGTTTTTCACTGAAATTGTCCCTTTATTTGGTACCATGGACAATTTATATCTTGGAGAAGTACAACCTGGGATTAATTTTTTTCCCAAACCTTTCCTAGCACAGTGGACTCTTGTATGACATGAGTTTGACCTGCGCATGTTCACTTACATTTTTTCACGAAATATGTTCTACGGTACTACACAATCCACGGCTGATTGAATCCTCAGATAGAGAACCCCCAGATACCGTGGGCTGACTGTAAAGTTAATTGGTGGATTGACTATTAACAGTTATTTTTGACTGTGGGGGGCTGGTCTGTATATTAGTTAAACAGAGTACTTTTAAGCAAAAGAGTAACAGATTTAATTAATAGTCATTTGCTAAATCTTAGTAAAGTCTTTTGGTTATGTTTCCTAGAAGTATACCATAGTATGGAGAGAGGTGTGTGCTTTTATTTTATGAACTAGGAGAATGGTTGAGCAGGGGGAATGTTGAAAATGGGAATGGCAATGAAATATTTACCACAGGAACTTTTTCAAGTAGATCAGTTTAGGAAAGAATGTGTTTATTTAGAAGTTTAGCTGAAATTGATTCTCTTAAAATTTTCCATTCCTGCATATTCTTTTGGGTCTTTCTGTACCCCAGGAGCCCACAGGTGTACATTCCTTGATTTGAGGAATTTGTGGCATTTGTTTAAATTTGTATAAGTATTGGCTTACCCTTCTTTGTGTTTTCATTCATTCAATAAATACTTTTTCTTTGTCTGTTTACTGGAATACTGTTTTTTATATCTGATTGCCCGTTGCTTGATAAATACATGAATTGAATTGAAGTATTTACTGAATGTGTCTATTAAATAGTTAGATTTCTGAGCTAGCCCCATAAATGTGTTTTTTAATTCTGTGAGGTAGATGAAAAGTAGTTAAATGGACTTTAGATGGCTTGCCATCTTTAGAGGGCTAACTGTCTGGAATAGTCTTTTGACAGGAAAATGCAGTCTTTGTAGAAAGTGATGCAGATAGCATTTTTAGGAGTGGGTGGGCAAGAATCTCTTCTTCCCGTGATTCTGATGAAAGACAGCTATACTTAAACACCATCCCTCTCTTCCACAAGTGTGTGCCCTTATATTTCAAAAGAATTTCAAAGAAAGCCAGTGGTTTTTCTCATTCAGATAAATGTATTTTCTGTCAATTTTAGGAAATTTGGAGTAACCTAAAGAGAGTCCTGTGCTATGATAATATGGGACATTCTTGAGGGTAGGTAGCATCATGAAAATAATTCATACTCATCTGTAGAGAGTGGATATGATAATTTTGTCACTCACATTCATCAGAGAGAAGGAAAAAGATAACCGGGTAAGAATCAAAAGAGAAGGGAAGATAAAGTGAGAAGATGTAGAAGGGCACTAACATTTATTAAGGCTCTACTGTATTTGGTAATGGTTGAATTTGTTTGCACCTGTTGTTTCGTTTAAGTATAGATATACAGAGAAAAATTGCCTGTGGAAGACTGTATTAACTGGGAAATACAGAGGGAAAAAGACAGAATTTGATTTGTATATTGTACATAATCTTGTTGGGGGCAAGAAAGGAGATAACAGAAAGATGTTACTCCAGATGTTTCTCCATTTTGGCCACTAGGTGGTGATATTGTATAAAGACAGCTTGGTTGCTGGCTAGTAAGATAGTCAAAACTTGAAGTGGGGATAGATAACTATATTTAACAACTAAGCCCAAGAGTATCACTTAATATTTTTTAATATTAGTCACACAGCTTTGTAGCACATTTGTGGTGACTTTTACTGACTTTCCCATTTTATATTTAATTTACATTGTGTACTCTACCCTGAAGTATTTTATAAATACCTCTGTGTGCCTAACATACTTAGCAATGATAAACTGCAGTTGATAAGCAGGTATACAGATGAAAAAGTGCCCCGACCTCCAAAAAATTCACATACCAAAACAAAATAATTGATATAAATGATACATATAAGAAACATTGAGAATATATTAAGCAATATAAACATTTTAAATAATATTGCTTATGGCATAAGTGTACATGCACATTTGGAATTAAGGAAAAAGGACCACACAGAAGGTCCTCCCATCTCTGAATTATTCTTGCATTTTACTGGGTATGGGTAACCTACATCCCAAGGATCCTCCATACTTTCCTTTCTGTGTCCCACCACCAACTCCCCATTATTTTCAAATCCAAAACAATTGGTGAGTAGTGTATTTTTTATTATGACTTAAAATGACGCAATACTTTCTCTCACAGTTGAAGTTTCTGCCTCTTGAATTAGAGGGGTCTCTCTTATTGTATTGAAGGAAAATAGGTCCCTCTCTTTCCCAAGTCAGAATGCTGAATGCACTTTTTCATAGATAGTTAAATATAGCTAAAATACTGTTATATGCAGCCTTGATGTGAAAAATCAGACTTCTCCTTTCAGGGGTTTTGGCCTCAGACTTCACTGTTTTCTTCCAGAGTAAGTGATCTGGAAAAGCATTTTCTCTTTTGCAAATGAACATTTTCAAGAGACCCTATTTTTTTTAAAAACGTGATTTTTTTCCTGGAAACGTAGCTCATTTTCTTCAGCTTGAAGCAGGCTGTTTCTCCTCTGTATTCTGATAGGCCTTTTTAAAGATCCAATTTTACCTTATGTTAATGGTATATATATTTTTTATCATCTCAACCATACTGTACATGTATTGAATGCAAAGTTTCTTGCTTATCCTTATCATCTCTTATCACCAGAATCTTGTCCAGTGCCTTGCATGTAGTAGGTGCTCAATTAAATACATGACACGTGTAAGGAAGGCTTAGACTGTTAATGCCAAAGTAGTGTGTTTTAAGTTAGTTACCTCTGACTAGAAATAACTTTTTTTTTTTTTTTTTGCGGTACGCGGGCCTCTCACTGTTGTGGCCTCTCCCGTTGCGGAGCACAGGCTCCGGACGCGCAGGCTCAGCGGCCATGGCTCACTGGCCCAGCCGCTCCACGGCATGTGGGATCTTCCCTGACCGGGGCACGAACCCATGTCCCCTGCATCAACAGGCGGACTCTCAACCACTGTGCCACCAGGGAAGCCCCCTAGAAATAACTTTTTATAGGGTATAAGGTATTGGCTTTTAAGATAGAAGGACTCCTATGGTCAGATACTTTTTTTCTGATGAATGGAAGCTGTGGCCTTACAGGTTGTAGAACATACTAGTTATAATGTTTGAAACTCAAATTGTATTATTTTATGCCTGTTTAGAAAATGTAGAATAGTTTCATTATTAATATTCCAAATTACTGATCTTTTGGGAATCATAGATCCTTTTGAGAACCTCACTGAAGCTACCTCCCCCTTCCCCACCTACCCACTGCCAACACAGTCAGAAAAATGCATTATGCATCTGCACAGATAATTCTGTATACTATTTTAGAGAACTCATAGACCTCATGTTAAGAACTTCTGCTTCAGATTCTGGAAGAGACTACAGCTTACTAATTGAGATGTAGCTTGATATAATAGAAAAATGGACTATATGCAAAATCAGTTGATCTGAGTAAGTTCTAGCTCTTATTCTACCCTTGATAAATGTGACGCCATTTGACAGGTCATATAACCTCTCCTTACCTATTTCTTTATCTGTGAAGTGAAGCAGCTGTTGGATAAGATTAAATGAATTAGTACATTGATATGCTTAGAATAGTGCTGAGTACATACTGTGCTTCCCAGTCTTTATTTTTATTATCTCATGAAGGACTTCTGAATTTTGTGATGCTCTAATTATCTTTCCCTTAAGAAAATTACTTTGGTGTGTGTGTATATATGTTCGTGTTGTGTGTGTAATTTCTTAAAAACTTGGATAGCAACCAACTTATCCTTCTGTTATTCTGTAAGAGAAATAGTAAGCTATGTCCTGATCTTTTGTTACCTCTATACAGGCAACAGTAAATGACCTTCTCACTGCAGTGCTACAATTGAAAATTCTGAGTCAGAGGATATATGTGCCTGTCAGTGTATAAAAGTAACTGGGAAGAAAAAGAGCACTGAGAAAATCTACTCAAGATGTTATATTAGTGTACTAGTGTAACTTGTTAAAGCAGATGAAGCTCTTCTGTATAATTATAGTTGCTAGGAACTTTAGTCTTTTCAGAGATTGGATGTATTACGTCTTACTGAAAATCCAGTATTGTTTATGTAAAATTCTTTATAAAAACAGATTCCATTAATGTTTGCGGCAAATAGGTTGTATTAAAAATATGTAACTTTTATGTATTACCTAGTAAGACAAACACTATTTTTTTTTTACTCTAATTAGGGAAGAAGACAAAAACATATTTGATTACTGCAGAGAAAACAACATTGACCATATAACCAAAGTCTTCAAATCAAAAAACGTGGATGTGAATATGAAAGATGAAGAGGTATGAAAAACGTGTCCTGTTAATTATTTTCTTATGCTTTGTTGTTCTGCCCCAGTGCTTTTTTTCTACACAGCAGGCCTCTGAACTACAACTCAAACCACATTATGGTTAAGAGTATATCAGAATATCTAAATGAGATGGTGTCACCCAGTTAAGATACTTTCTGTATCTGTATCCATCATATTTCTGTCCATTATAGAAGTTACTAGCTGAAACTTGCAGCAGGAAAATAACATATTTGTTCATGTTAAAGGGAGAGACTATTAACATATTTATGTGAAATCTATAGGTAATATTAAAATATTTATAAATAGCTTTAGTATCTTCTGTCATTATACCTGAAACAAGTATATTGTCCTTTGCCCAGTAACTGTATTTCTAGAAAACTGTCAAAATTTTGGTAAATCCAGTCATTTAAATGCAGGCCCACTATTTAAAGGGATCCTATACTAAATTATTTTGTAAAATATATTACTTATTAATTTATTTATTTTGTGAATAAAACTGTTCAAGCTTAAACTGTCCCTGAATTATAGTTGTTTAAAAAGGAGCAAAATTTACTAATCACTTTTAATCATTTTTCTCATTCTTTGATAATGCAGTGAAGATGATCAAAATGACCAGAAGGTGGCAATTGTTAGGAAGAGGACATGCAGTGATCGTAGATGATGCGTAGAGTAGATGATCAACTTCTGTATTAATTGAGGGCTCTCTGTACAGGTTAGCCCTTAATATTAATCTCACTTTTAGGCAGCATCTTTCCTATAGTATATTTTCAGTGACATCTGGAACTGAAAATGTAAGACAGTAATTCTACAGTAAAGTTTGTTCTCCTATAAATAATGAAAGGAGTCAAGAAAGATGTCGCTAGAGAAAAGTGGAAGCCAGATTGTGAAACAGTAACACCGGCTCTTCTGATTCCCACTTGGGTTTTATTTTGCTTTTCAGGATCAGAATACATTTTATTTTAGTCAGTCAGGCACGATTGCTTCTCCTGATTTTATTGTCGTTTTTAATGTTTGTGCTCATGAGTTAAGATTTTTATGAAGTTAATACATGTAGATAGTTCAAAGGAAATCAAATAGTACTATAAGTCTTACAACAAAAAATGTACTCCCTTATCTGCATCCTTCTCACATTTGATTCTAGCTCCCTTGAGGCAAAAACTTTCAGTGCTTTTAGTTGTTTCTTTTGCAATTTACCTACATAATTCTAAATAATATACTTGTATCTCTTGATTTTGCAAGTCTAAACGTTATTGATTTTCTTCTATGTTATATTAGGATTTAGCTCTTTTACTCATCTTCCCCCTCTCTCTCCCCACCCTCTTAACATAGTTATATCACAATTTTTTAGTGTCAGTTTTCTGATTGCATCTCTATTATATCAGTGTTTTTATTATTATTACAAATTATACTGTAATTAATGTAATATAGTCAATTATGATTATAATGTAACTATATTATTATGACTGTGTAAATATTGTTTGTTGCTGAGCTATGGACTGTACTATATGTATTAGTCAGCTTTTGCTGTAGTAAAAACAAAACAAACAAAACCCCAAATTTCAGTGGCTAACAACATTTATTTCTTGCTCACATTTCAAAAGCCTTGGAACCAGTTGAGACTCTGCTGGCTTCTACTAGCCTTGTTTGTGCTCAGTTCATCTTGATTTCATATGTCTTCTCATTCTGAGATCTAATCCCAATGGATAGACCCTATATGGGGCAGACAATAAAGGCAGACAGAACCAGACCCCACAAATACATTTAAAGCTTTCCTTGGATGTAGCATGTGTCACATCTACTCACATTCCTTTGTCTAAAACAAGTCACAAGGCCAAGCCCCAGGTCACTATAGTAGGAAGTCCGCTTTGCTTGCAGGGAAGCAAGGCAAGGGTGGAAAGGGAATGAATAAATTATATAATTATGAATAATGCAATCTACATACAATGGTACAACATTTTGTTTTTCTTAAGGTTAATAATGGCGTCTTTTTTTTTTTCTTGGTCTTCTGTGTTCCTATTGCAATTCTTTCCTCAAATTGTCCAGTAGAGGTCTTCTCTGTACAGTCAAGCGCATCAGGTAATCAATCCCATGGTTTTTTTAGCAATATTCCTCTGGAACCCTCCTTCCTTCTTCATCTCTAAACTGGACTGGTTGTTCTCTAGGCCTCTCGCATAGATGTCATTCTGGGATTATGCTTTACCACTGTCTTTGGAATTCTCTTCCCCTTTTTCCTGGATTTTTCTATTTTGTGGATCCCAGGTCTTCATCTTTTATCGTTTACTTCTGTGTTTTGATGGAGTGTCTCCTCCACTAGCGTCCTCTTTTATTTATTTCCTGGTTTTGAAGGAGCATTTCCTTTAGTAGCTTCCTGGGTAAATGTTTTGAGATATTCCTTGTTGAAAATGTTTCTATCAGAGCTCTTGGTGTATTCCATATGCTCAATAAAGATTTGATGAATTATGAGTGAATGAATGATTGAATGAATGAATAAGCAGAAGCAGCATAGTATAATGGTGATGAGCTGGACTACCTGGGTCTGAGTGCTAGCACTGTCACTTCCTAGCTATATGACCTTTGTCAAGTTTGTTCTGTCTCAGTTTCCTAATGTGTACAATGGGAATAATAATAGTACCTGTGTCAGAATTGTTTTGAGTATTATATATAAGGCACTCAAGCAGTACCTGAAACACACATGCCAAGCACTCAAATGTTAGCTGTCTTGATTATCCTTAGTGAATAATCTGAATGAAGGATGATGATATAATGAAGAAATGAAGAAACCACAACTGTTTGTTGTAAAGACTTAGTTTTTTTTTTTTTTAAGAGCAGAGCAGTTTTAGGTTTTATAATAAATTTGAGAGGAAGGTACAGAGATTTCCCATATGACCCAACATTATTAACATGGTACTTTTTTTTTTTTAAAACCAAGGATGAACCTGCATTGATATATCATTATCATCCAAAGTCCATAATTTACTTTAGGGTTCCTCTTGGTGTTGTATATTCTATGTATTTGGACAAATGTATAATGAAATATTCATCATTACAGTATGATACAGACTCTTCACTGCCCTAAAAATCCTATGTGCTCTGAATATTAATATCCCCCACTCCCCTGGCAACCACTGATCTTTTGGTTGTCTCCATAGTTTTGCCTTTTCCAGAAGGCCATATAGTTGGAATCGCATAGTATGTAGTCTTTTCAGATTGGCTTCTTTCACTTAGTAATATGCATTTGAGTTTCCTCCATATCTGATGGCTTGAGAGCTCGTTTCCTTTCAGCACCGAATAATATTCCATTGTCTAGAGGTACCACAGTTTATTTATCCATTCACCTCCTGAGGACTTTTCTTGGTTGCCTCTGAGTTTTGGCAATTATGAATAAAGCTGCTATAAACATCCATGGGTACGTTTTGTGTAGACGTAAGTTTTCAGTTCCTTTGGGTAAATAACAAAGAGTACAGTTTGTAGATGATATGGTAAGAGGATGTTTAGTTTATTAAGAAACCACCAAATTGTCTTCCCAAATGGCTGTGCCATCTTGTATTCCTACCATCCATGAGTGATGCTCTTTTGTTAGGTACATACACGTTAAGAATAGTTACATCTTCTTGGAGAATTGACCTCTTTATCATTATGTAATACCCTTCTTTATCCCTCATAACTTTACTTACTTTGAAGTTTGCTCTGACTGAAATTAATATAGCTAATCCTGTTTTCCTGTTGTGTGTTAGCATGGTATTTTTTTGTCTGTCCATTTACTTTTAATCTATATGTGCCTATATATTTCAAGTAGGTTTCTTATAGACAGCATATTGTTGAGTTGTGTTTTTGATCCACTCTGACAATCTGTCCTTTAATTGGTACAGTTAGGCCATTGACATTCAAAGTGATTACTGATATAGTTGGATTAATATTTACCATATTTGTTACTGTTTTCTATATGTTGCCCTTATTCTTTGTTCCTGTTTTTGTCTTCCACTCTTTTCCTGCCTTTTGTGGTTTTAATTGAGCATTTAATATGATTCCATTTTCTTTCCTTTCTTAGCCTATCAGTTATGCTTTTTTTGACCTTTTATAGTGGTTGTCCTAGAGTTTGCAATATACATTTATAACTAATCTAAGTCCATTTTCAAATAACATGATACTATCATGGGTAGTGTGAGTGCCTTATAAAAACAAAATATTCCTAATTCCTCCCTCCTGTCCCTTGTATCATTGCTGTCACTCATTTCACTTACATAAAAGCATACATAAACATGTATATATGCATACTATATATGCATGTTTGTATATTAGTACACACATAAGATATATATGATACATAAGCATGTATAATCAAATACATTGTTGCTATTATTTTGAACAAACTGTTCTCTCAGATCAATTAAGAGTAAGAAAAATAAAAGTTTTTATTGTACCTTCACTATTCCTGCTTTGATGCTCCTTCTTTCGTTATGTAGATCAGTTTCTGACCTACATTATTTTCCTTCTCTCTAAAGAATTTCTTTTAACATTTCTTGCAAGGGAGGTGTATTGGCAACAGATTTCCTCAAAATTTGTTTGAGAAAGTCTTTACTTCTCCTTCACTTTTGAAGGATAATTTCTCAGGATACAGAGTTCTAGGTTAGCAGGGGTTTTTCCTCAACAGTTTAAATATGTCACTCCACTCTCTTCTCGCTTGCATGGTTTCTGAGGAGAAGTCTGATGTAATTCTTACCTTTGTTTCTCTATAAGCAATATGTTTTTTTTCCTCTGGCTTCTTTCAGGGTTTTTCTCTATCTTTGATTTTCTGTAATTTGAAAATGATATGCCTAGTGTAGTTTTTGAAGCATTTATTTTGCTTGGTGTTCTCTGAGCTTCCTGGATATGTGGCTTGGTGTCTAGCATTAATTTGAGGAAATTCAGTCATTGTTTCAGGTATTCATCTGTTCCTTTCTCTGTTTCTTCTCCTTCTAGTATCCCCATTATGCATACATTGTATCTTTTGTATTTGTCCCATAGCCCTTGGATATTCTGTTCTGGGTTTTTTTTTTTTTTCCTCAGTCTTTGTTTTCACTTTTTAGTTTTCGAGGATTCTATTGATATATCTTCTAACTCAGAGATTCTTTCTTCAGCCATGTCTGGTATACTAATAAGCCCATCACAGGCATTTTTAAAATTTCTGTTACAGTGGTTTTTTTATCTCTATCATTTCTTTTTGGTTACTAGGATTTCCATTTCTCTGCTTACATTGTCTGTCTGTTCTTGCATGGTGTCTGCTTTATTCATTAGAGCCCTTAGCATATTAATCATAGTTGTTTTAAATTCTCAACCTGATAATTCCAGCACCTCTGCCCTGTTTCATTCTGATGCTTACTCTGTTTCTTCAGATTGTGGATTTTTTGCCTTTTGGTTTGTCTTGTAATTTTTACTGATAGCTGGACTTGATATATCAGATAAAAGGAACTGCTATGAATAGGCCCTTAGTAATGTGGTGGTGAGGTGTTGGGGAGAGAAAGTGTTCTATGGTCCTATGGTTCGGTCTCAGTTTTGTAGTGAGCCTATGCCTCTGGACTGGGAATCTCACAAATGTTTCTCTTTTTTTTTCCTCCCCCTTTAGTTGGGACAGAATGGCTGGAGTGGACTGGAGTTGGGTATTTTCCTAACCCCCAGGTCAGTTAGGCTCTGATAATACCCCAACAGGTTAGGTGCTGGTTAGCCAGTTTCCCCTGAAGGCAGGCGGTTTTGAGAACAATAGAGCCTTGGCATATTTCAGAATGGTTAATTTCCCTTCCCCCTGCCAGAAGCATGAGGGGATGTCTCTCTGACATTTATTGTGGGAACCTCCTCAAGCTCCTAGAAGTAAATCTCACACTATTGGGGGGGTGCGGATAGAGGGGTTGAGTAGATGCCCGTGGAGTTTTTAACCCTCAGAGTTGTCTGCACTGTGCCTCCAGCAATTCATTTATTACGGTCAGGTTTTCTTACCTGGCTCTGGTTCCCCGGCTGGTTTCCACTTGTGAGGCTCTGCTCCAGGATGTCGAATTCATCTATCTGTCTCTCTAGTCTCAGGGGTTTGCCCTGTGTCTTTCCCTTTCTTAGGGATCTAAGAATTGTTGATTTTTTCAGTCTCTTCAGCTTTTTTGTTTGTTTGTTAGGATGGAGTGGCAACTTCCTAGCTCCTTATATATGGAACTGGAAACGAAAAGCCCACTTAACTTTTCACAGTCACTTTTTCACTGGAAATGATTGTGTATGTACTATATTATCCCTGTTAGAATTCTCCATCTTTCAAATAATACTATTTTATACAGTGTGGGTTATGGTTTACAGAGTACTTTCCCCATATTTACAACTCTGTAAGGTACTTTCACTTATTACCGTGTTGTCTTTACAACAGCCCTGTAAGGTAGATGTTATCGTTATTTCACAGACAGGAACTATTTCAGAGATGTCCACATTACTTGTTCGAATACATACAACTGCTAAGTGGAAATGCAGGTCTGAGAGAGTGTTCTTTCCACCACTGGATTTAAGAAGGATAATCAATTTCCAGTCGACCCTGCTACTGTTGTGCTCTGATTTGCAACAATTTCTTTTATAAAATAGTCAAATCCACCTGTGACCTCTGCAAGGATCATTGGGCAGCAATGATAGGGATAAAATAAATGTCTAGAACTCAAATAGCTTACACTAAACAACACCATTTTTGTGTGAAAATAAAAGTAACACTTGTAAAATATCTTGCTTCTGTCATTTAGTGACTTTGATATAGTACGGTTTCCCAGGTCTTCCAGTTTGTTACCCATGCAGCTGCCTTTCCCCTAAGTCTGCCAGAACACTTGTGTTTCCATGAACAGATGAAGTGCTTACACATTCATAGACTGAGACGCCCAGAATTCAGTTGGGTTCTCTCATTGCTCCAAGCAGATTTCTGCCCTTTCAGCCATGACAACTCAGGCTGGGCTCTAAATACTGATGGCAAGACCTTTTATTATTAATCAGGGATTTGTATGAATTAATTTAAGAACGTGAGGGAGGTGGGAGCTTAAAATTAACATCCTAAATAAAATAAAGGGTACTGCTTCATGACACTTAAAGCTCTAGCAAATAAAACAAGTTTGCAAGCTTTGATGATGGATTAAAAGTATATAATCTCAAAGTTAAGTTGCTAGCTAAATACTTTTAACCCCTTTATCAGAAAAAAGACATTTCCCTACTATAATAAGTTGGGTAACAATTACAATTTTGAAAGGATATCCTGGTCTTCTAGGTGTTTGTCTAATATTTGAGCTTGAGTTATTTCACTACTCATTGCCTGAGATTCTTTGGAATGGTATATGACTTTATTTAAAATGTCATTCAGCAGATTCAGCCCAATTTCAGTCTTTCCCTGAGATGATTAAAAATTACCTTTATTGCACTTAAAATTTTTTGTGAGCACATAGAGAAATTTTGATTATAGTCATAACATGATAAGCCACATTTGCACTCCCACATATTGAAATAAACATAATTATTTTATTGCCTAAAATGCTTAGAATCTATAGCTATCATAGCACATGAACATATACATATATATATAAAATGCCTTTTAAATAAAATATTCCTATTCTACAATGAAGTTATTTTATTATGCAGAAGTATAGTTCCTGGTGTGTATCTTTTATTTAAGTTGTAATTGCTACAGATATAGTAAGGCATATATTTCTAATTCGAGAAAATTACGTGGTGTTTCCTACTGATATGGTAATTAGGACGCTGTCTATATTTCATGTAATAAAAAAAGTTTTGTAGTTATACTTACTATTCAGGACGCTATAGGTTCCAAGTTTATAGCATCATGGTGTTCTGTGTACTCATTTGTTAAATTACAGCTTTTATTAAATTTTTTAATCATTTGCAGAAATGTTTGGAAATTGAGGTGTAGATAATATGAAGAGAAATGTGAAGATCTAAAAGCTTATACATTTTTTAAAATGGTGCTTCAATTTTTATTTTTTGAGTCAGTTAATATACCTCTTCACACATGCCACATATTTATAGTTCTTCCAAGAAAATATCTTGGATGATTTAAATAATTTATAAAGTGTACTTAATATATGAACAGAATATTTCTTATCAATCATCAGGCACATATTATGTCTGCACAGTTCTTGTCACACAATTTATATCTCAGATTAGTGCCATATACAGTAGACACTGAATACGTGCTTCTTAGTGATATTTAAATAATATTTTATTTATTTCTAATTAATTTATTTTTGGCTGTGTTGGGTCTTCATTGTGGTGGGCAAGCTTCTCATTGCGGTGTCTTCTCTTGTTGCGGAGCACGGGTTTTAGGTGCGTGGGCTTCAGTAGTTGTGGCACACGGGCTCAGTAGTTGTGGCGCACGGGCTCAGTTGTGGCACACAGGCTTTAGAGCGCAGGCTCAGTAGTTGTGGTGCATGGGCTTAGTTGCTCCGTGGCACGTGGGATCTTCCCAGACCAGGGCTCGAACTCATGTCCCCTGCATTGGCAGGTGGATTCTTAACCACTGTGCCACCAGGGAAGTTCCTTAAATAGTATTTTAAACTTTTACATTAATCTAAATTTGTTTTAGAACAAATGTAGCAATATAATAATATTTGAATGAATTAGATGACATTATTCCAGTGCAGCTATCATCACTCCCCCCCAGAAGCATTCATGCAATTCATTGGTTTTTCTATAGATTTTTGTCTAATGCACTCAAAAATTTCTCTTTTATTGAGCTGCTACTTTAGTTAAGTTCTTTCTGTTCTTTTGAAAGTCTAATTTTATACCATTTTCCATATGTTTATTGATTCTTTCAAATACTTTGAAGAAGATCACCTTTCTCTTGACTCCATTCCTTTCTGCACTTGCTTTGTTTTAAATTTGTGGCTCATGTCAGAATACAGTTTACATGCTTTTGGTTTGAGAAACTGCTGCAAAATCTGGCAAAACAGACAGTACTAACCTAACAAGGAAGCAAAAGGTTTAAGAGGCAGAGTCAGTGTACTAAGGCTCAATTTATGCTTCTATTTAAGAAAGGAAGGAAAAAATGCATCCTCTTAAATAGCTTTCTACACTTGAGTATATGTTAGTTTGGTTATGTAGTTGATTAACATATTAATTTAAAGGAACTTTATTCACACTAATAATTGAGAAATGCATTCTAAACTGTCAAATTATGCTCATTTGTATTAATACAGGCAGCACCATTTAAAAATCAAGCCTATGGTAATACTTTACACCAGAAACTTGTACTTAATGCAAAATGAGAAAATAGTGAAAGTCATTTAAATCTTATGAGCTTTGGCAGTATACTTTTTTTTTGAATTTTTTATCATGGTAAAATATACATAACAAAATTCACAGATTTAACCATTTTCAAGTGTACAGTTCTGTGTCATTAAGTACTTTTACATTGTTTAACCATCACCACCGTTTTATCTCCAGAACTTTTTCATCTTCCCCAACTGAAATTCTGGACCTATTAAACACTAACTCCTCATTCCTCCCCTTCCCACAGCCCCTTGCAGCCACCATTCTACTTTCTGTGTCTATGAATCTGACTACTCTAGGTACTTCGTGTAAATGGAATCATACAATCATACACAAGCTCTCTTGAGACTGGCTTATTTCAGTTAGCATAATATCTTCAAGGTTCATCCATGTTATAACATGTCAAAGTTTCCTTCCTTTTTAAAAATGAATGATATTTGTATGTATGTACTGCATTTTGTTTATCTAAATATCCATCTGGACATGTGGACAGTTGGGTTGCTTTCATATTTTGGCTATTGTGAATAATGTGAATAATGTGGCTGTGAATGTGAATAATGTGAATAATGTGGCTGTGAATGTGGGTGTGCAAATTTTTGTTTGTTTTTTCCCAACACTTTATTATGAAAATTTGTAAACATACAGGAAAGTTGAAAGAATTTTACAGTGAACATCTATATCCCTACCACTAGATTCTACCACTAGTTATTTTACTGTTTGCTTTATCAATATCTAGCCGTTTCTCCATCCATCAATTGATCTATGTTTTTGATGCATTTCAGAGTATTTTATAGACAATAAATTTTCTTCTAAATGCTTCAGCATACATATCATTAACTAGAGTTCAGTATTAGTTTGGTTTTTCTTTTAAGGTAACATGTATATATACAATGAAATGCACAAATCTGAAGTGCACATTCAATTAATTTTGACAAATGCACCAAATGTAACCAAAACTCCTATCAAGATATAGAACGTTACTGTCACCCCAGAAAATTCCCTCATGCCCCATCCCAAGTGGTTCTTTTTCCTAATCGTACAAAGGTAACCACTGTTCTGATAATTCTTCTAGCATAGATTGGTTTTGCCTGTTCTAGAACTTTATATAGATGGAATCATAATATGTACTTTTTTGTGTAAGGCTTCTTTCATTTAGCATAGTGTTTTTGAAGTTCATTGATATTGTCATATAGATCAGTATTCTTCCTTTATATTTCTGACTGATATTCCATTGTATGAATATGAATTCATTGTAGTGTATTTATCCATTATCTTCTGATGGACACCTGGCTACCTTATTATTATCACTGGATTACTTATTATTTTATACAGGATGAAGTAATATCTCCCTTGCTTACTCCTTAACCCTTTAGTTACTAACATTATGGCTTAGTAAATGCTTATAAAGGGAGTTTCTAAAGTAGTGTATTTAAAATCCTTCTGAATTCCCTGATAGCTCAGCAATACCATTTCCTTTTACCTTAGATCTTAGCCAGTGAAGGAGATCAAGTATTCACTTATTTTAAATGTGTATTAGCTTCCATGCTAGCCACATCTTGCGGTCATAAACTGCCACCCAGTCCTACTGCTGTCTGAGTTTTTGAAAGAACGTTGTTGGTTCACTAATGAGAGGTGGGTGGAAGTAGGAGGCTTTGTGTAGTTTCTGGTGGTTGCAGGTGGGGGAGTTCTCACTGTAGCCAGCTGCTACAATGGCAGCAGCAAAGGGTAGAAGATAGGGATAGGAGAGAGGAGGCAGAGACACTACAGGTTATTGGTAGCTGAAGTCAATCAATTGTAAGTTGAAACCCAATTTTTTGGAGAGAGAAATTCAAGTCAGCCTATTTGCAGTATTTCACTTCATAATTAGACAGTACTATACCATATCATCTTTGATAAAATGGCAACTCTTAACAAATATAAACATACCAACTTTGCCATGTTTTTGTCTACTGTATGTATGGTGTACATGTTTTGTTTGTATCTGTTCTCAAAATACCCTAAGAACATCGAGTCATTTTATAATACCATCTCTTTTCATTTAATTTGTGATAGCCAGGAGAAATCTAATTTTTAAAAATTCTGCATGGTTTAAGAACAAGTAACCAAGGATATCAAAGAAGCATATAAAATATTAAGACTCACTCTGTATTTTCCAGAAGGTATGAAAGTAATACCACTTAATAGGTTAGCTGCCACCCTGCACTTTCCAAGCACTTTAGAGTCATTCATCTGTCTGAGGTAAGACGGTATTTGCACCCTTGGTTAACAGATGGGAACTCTTTCTTCCCTGCTGTGTTTTACTGTATTTGAATTCCAGAATTTATCCAGAGCTCTCCAAACAGTGCTTGTGGTTTTCTGCTGACCTAACAAAGATTCCTTTTAATAATGGCTTTCCCCACAAATGTCCCAAATAGTTCTGCGATATTCTTTCAGAAGTTATTAAAACTAGGAGCAGACAAACAATTGTCAGCTTTTGTGGTAACAGTAAAAATAAATTTAACTTGAAAATTTGTAAGAGATTATATCATTCATAGAAGATAAAACAATTATATCTAAAAATAGGTAAAATATCTCATAAGTTTGTATAAAATCTTTAAGCAAATATAAATTTAATGTGCGCCTAATTGATGGTTTTCCTTCTGGAAGAGAAATTATGGAATCCTGTATCTAAACTAATTTAGTAAATTTAATAATTGCATTATATTGGTCCATATATGTTTATGGTTAACAAAGAGAAAGGAGAGAAACCACAGGTGTTTATTTACTGATTTTATCAGTAGGGGTTATGAGGATAGATATGCAGATATCTATAGATAGATAGATATCTATAGATAGCTTTGCAGATATCTATAGATAGATATCTATAGATAGATAGATATGCAGATATCTTCTCTGCAAATTACTGGTTATTTATTACTTGAACTAATAATCTTAGAGTATGTTTACAGGAACTCTACAATTTGAAGAAGTAAAGAGTTATCACATTCAGATACCTGGTTGTGCTGATCTTTGTTCATTTAAATGCAGGATATTTGAAGGCAAAAATTCCAAAGCCTGATTTACTTTATCTATGCTTATTTACAAGTATGTTTAATCCTGCTCTTGTTTTTGAACTTCTTAATGCTGCATAAAAATATTAATCATTAGGTGGTCTTAATGTAGCTATCTTCAGCCCTTCTGCAGAAAGTCATTATCAGAGAATTCATTCTAATTCAAGGTTAATTAGTGTACCATTAAAATAATGTGTTACAAAAATTAATTACATTGCAGGTCAGAAAACCTGTTAAAAAGCATAGTGTAAATGTCTGAGAGCACATCATCCTCCTTAAAACATTGCTATACAAGTGCCACCCTTCTAGAAAATATATCCAAAGTGAAAATCTCTACTGAGGTCCAGTCATAGGTGTTTCGTCTAAAGTAAATTTTTGGCACCACATGTGGGAACTTTAAAATATAACTCCCCATTAACAGTAAAATGCGTTGCTTGTCTGCTTTCCCACCGAAACAGCTAAGGATTTATAATTTAGCATTAGGCTATGTAACCCTATTGGGTTAAACCTAAGGAGAAATCAGGAATCTGGTTGAGAAATAGAAATTATCTGTACATCTTGTAGTAAAAATACTAGATATATTAATATTATGTTTTCTTACTTAACTATTAGGTACTTCTGGTAGGTTCCCTGTGTAAGTCTATCAGGCATCATTTTAACTATGTAGTAATTCTTGTTAACAATTTAACATAATAGCCATAAAATGTACAGTTAAAATTAGAACTAAGAATGATACAGACTTTGACGTTTTATCTGATTATTTTAATGTAAAAACTGTGAAACAATTACATTGAACTATAAAATATTTTATACATTGGTATTAGTTCTGAGAGTCTAATTAGAATATCTATCTATTCGTATAGAGGGTTTTGAAATTAGTGCTCTAGTAACACTAAATCAGTACACGTTAGAGCTGGAGAACATTTACCATAGGCAACTCTATTCTCTACTCCACAATACATTTTTTACTTGGCTTTTAGAATTGTCTCCATTTAAAAAATTTTTAGTGGGCTCTGAGCAAAGTAGTTTTGCTGTTACAATAAACTGTGAATGATTTGCCCACGTTTTAAAATTTTTTGCTTCCCTTCCTCTTCGGATTTTGTGTAAGCCTATTGCAAAACAGATATTCACAGGTAAGTAAAAATAAATTGAGCAAATGAAAGAAAAAGAAAAGGACAATTTGTAAGGAAGAAGTTGTCTTACTTTTTGTTTGTTTGTTTCAAGAATAGTTCCTGGTTTGATTAGTTGAACGAATAGGTATGTGAAGAGAGTCTGTAAGGTGAAGTGTGTGAGTTTAGAAAAGCTTTCTTGAAAAGTGCTTTTTACTTTAAAGTCATCTTTGTCCCAGCTTATATCTCCTTAAATCTTTTCTAAAATGACATAAAGCAGGGATTTCAACTTAATTTGGAAAAACATTCCATTCTTTAAAAAATGACATCACTACCACCCTGAAAAAAGTAGTGTTAAGCCATACATCACTCATTTCTTCAGAAAAGCCCTTAGCTTTGGGGGTTTTGTTTATTCTTTGGACTGAGTAGGCTCCTTTCATTAACTAAACCAAGATGTCTGACAGTGGAGAAAAGAATTAACACATTGAGAGTAACCGTTCATCCTTGGTAGACAACAGTTAAAATTAATGTTTCATATTTAGTACTTTTGTCTCCTGACAGTTAATATCTATTCTGTTTTACAAGTGGCTTTCACAGTCAGCATTTGAAGACAAACACTAGCAGACTTTACTAATGTTTTGGGGATATTTCAGGGTGTAAATTTGGGATATGAAGGGGAAATGCTTAGTTTCAAAGTGATTAAATTTTCTTACATTTTAAGGAATAAACTTGAGTAAATTTAGATAAACTGCATTTAGATTATGATCTCTACCTAGGTTTAAGTACTTATTTTTTTTTTATCCATAGGATTTTTTTCACCAGAAGTGGACATAATTTAAAACTATCTCTTACCTTTATAGAGTACTTCAAAATTTACAAAGCATTATTTTGTAACTCATTCATTCAACAAATGTTATTGGTATTATTGTTGTTAGTGTTACCCCCACGCTGTGGGTGAGGAAGCTGTTCAGGCTGAAGAAAGTCACTGGGCTAGTACAGAACAGATTCCAGAAGTAGAACTCAGGACTTTCTATTGATTTCCAGTCTGCTGATTTTCCCATAGAACATTTTATATCAATCATTCTTAGAATAGTTAATCTACATTTTTGCATATTACTCTGTCTTTCTTCAGACCTTATATCTTTTATATGGTCCCACACTGGATTAACAAATTCATTTATCTTTTTCTGTGTTTTTAGGGCAGAGCTCTACTCCATTGGGCTTGTGATCGAGGACATAAGGAACTAGTCACAGTCCTGCTACAACATAGAGCTGATATTAACTGTCAGGTAAGAGTGATGAAAAGGGAGTTTTTTTTAAAAAAATTGGGGTAAAATCCACATAAAGCAAAATTTACCATATTAACAATTTTAAAGTGTACAGTCGAGTGGCATTTAACAATGTGCAGCCATCACTACTGTCTTGTCCTGCAGCATTTTCATCACCCCAGAAGTACGCTTTGTACCCATTAAGTGGTCACTCCCTATTTCCCCCTCACTCCAGACCTTAGCAACAACTAATCTGCTTTCTCAGTGGATTTGCCTCTTCTAGATATTTCATATAAATGGAGTCATAAAATATGTGGCCTTTGTTTCTGGCTTCCTTCACTTGGCATATTTTCAAGGATTATCCATGTTGTAACATGTAACAGTACTTCATTCCTTTTTGTGGCTAAATAATATTCCGTTGTATGGATAGACCACATTTTATCAATTCATCAGTTGATGAGCAGTTGGGTTGTTTCCACCCTTTGGCAGTTGTGAATAATTGCGGTGAACAATTTGTGTACATGTTTTTGTTTAAACACTTGTTTTCAGTTCTTTTGGTTCTGTACCTAGGAGGAGAATTTAAGTTATATGGTAATTTGATGTTTAACTTTTTGAGGAACCTCCAAACTTTTCCACAGGAGCTACACCATTTTACATTCCCGCCAGCAATTCACGAGTGTTCCAGTTTTTCCACTTCTTCGCCAATACACATTATTTTTCTGTTCATTAGCCATTCTAATGGGCATGAAGTGATATCTCATCATGGTATGGATTTGATTTGCATTTCCCTAATGACTAATGATGCTGAGTATCTTTTCATGTACTTGTTGACAGTTTATATGTCTTCTTTGGAAAAATGTCTATTTAAGTGTTTCACCCCTTTTTAAACTGAGTTGTCTTTTATATTTAAGATCTAAAAATTCTTTATATATATTCTGGACATTAGACCATTATCAGATGTATGATTTGCAGATATCTTCTCCCTTTTCGTGGGCTGTTTTTTCGCTTTCTTAATAGTGCCCTTTGGTGCATGTAAAGTTTTTAATTTTGATGAAGTCCAGTGTATCTATTTCCTTTTGTTGGTTGTGCTTTTGGCATCATACCTAAGAAACCTTTGCCAAATCCAAGGTCATTAAGATTTACCCCGAAATTTTCTTTCTTTCTTTTTCTCTCTTTTTTTTTTTGACTGTGGCAAAATATATATAACATAAAATTTACCGCCTTAACCATTTTAAGTGTACAGTTCTGTGGCATTAACTACTTTTACGGTGTTTAACCGTCACCACCATTCATCTCTAGAACCTATTCATCTTCTCCAATTGAAACTCTGTACTCATAACTAGCTCCCCATTCCCCACCCCACCCCCTCAGCCCCTGGCAGCCACCATTCTACTTTCTCTCTTCATGAATTTGACTACTGTAGATACCTCATACAAGTAGAATCATAACAATATTTGTCCTTTTGTGACTGGCTTATTTCGCTTAGCATAATGTCTTCAAGGTTTGTCCCTGATGTAGCATGTGTCAGAATTTCTTTCCTTTTTAAAACTAAATAATGTTGCATTGTATGTGTATACCATATTTTGTTTATCCAGATATCCATCTACAGACACTTAGGTGACTTTCATCTTTTGGCTGTTGTGATTAATACTTCTATGAATATGGGTAACAAATGTCTGTTTGAATCCTTGCTTTCACTTCCTTTGAGTATATACCCAGAAGTGGAATTGCTGGATCATATGGTAATTCTTCGTTTAATGTTTTGAAGAATCACCATACCATTTCCACAGTGGCTGCACCATTCTACCTTCCCATCAACAATGCACAATTGTTCCAGTTTCTCCAAATCCTTACCAACACTTGTTATTTTCTGTATTTCTGATATTAGCCATCCTGGTGGGTGTGAAGTGGTCTCTCATTGTGGTTTTAATTTCACTTCCATAATGATTAATGATGTTGAACATTATTAATGTTGAACAATCAGTTTTGGCCATTTGTATATCTTCTTTGGAGAAATGTCTATTCATGTCCTTTGCCCATTCTTTAATTGGGTTGTTTGGGTTTTTTTTGTTGTTAAGCTGTAAGAAGTCTTTATATAGTCTGGATATCACCCCCTTATCAGATGCATGGTTTACAAATATTTTCTCCCGTTCTTTGGGTTTTCTTTCACTCTGCTGATAATAGTGTCCTTTGATGCACAATAGTTTAAAATTTTGATGAAGTTCAACTTATGTATTTTTCCTTTTGTTGCCTGTGTTTTTGGTGTCATATCCAAGAAATCATTGCAAAATGCCATGCCATGAAGCTTTTTCCCAGGTTTTCTTTAAGAGCTTTATGATTTTAGCTTTGTTTTTTGACCCAAGTAAAAGGTAACGTAAGGGTCCAGCTTCATTTTTTTGCATGTGGATATTCAGTTTTCCCAGCGCCATTTATTGAAAGGCTGTCTTTTCTTCACTGAATGGTCCTGACACCCCTTGTCAGAAATCACTTGACCATATATGCAAGAGTTTGGGATCTCTATTCTATTCCATTGGTCTATATGTCTGTCTTTATGCCACTACTACCCTGGTTTGATTACTGTAGCTTTGTAGTAATTTTTGAAATCAGGAAGTGTGAGACTTCCAACTTGTTTTTCTTTTTCAAGATGGTTTTGGCTATTCTGGGTCCCTTAAGTTTCCATATGAATTTTAGGATGGATTTTTCTAATTCTACGAAAAAGTCATTGGGGTTTTGATGGAGGTTGCATTGAATCTATAGATCGATTTGGGGAGTACAGGTTTCCCTTGCTCTCTGAAAGTAAATCATTCCTACGAAACCTTTTGTAAGCCAAAATGATGTAAAGGAAAGAAGCAATTACCTTAGGACACATCTTGCTAACGAACGCACAAAGTAAACTGAGATAAAGCACAGATGCTCACACAGTTAAAAGTTATGGTGGCTTCGTGCTGAGATGCACAGTGTAGTTCCTGGAGAAGGAGCTAGATGGTGCCGCTCTTAGTGCTCAGGGTGCACGCTGCCTCTACAATAGCCAGCTGCAAAACAAAGGGCGAGCGCTGGTTTTGCTTTTCACCTTTTTTTGTAAAAGCAAAAATCGTCTTTAGATTTCTTTCGGTTAGCAAAAACAGGTACTAATGTACGTCTTTAGTAAAAGTGAAGTGGCATAAAGCAGACTTTTGAAAAGCAAGAGATACCTGTATTGTCATCTTAACAATGGTAAGTCTTCCAATCCATGGAATGGCCTTTTTTGTGTCTCTAATTTCTTTCAGCATTGTTTTATAATTTTCAGTATACAGTACGTTTGCCTCCTTGGTTTAGTTTATTCCTGAGTATTTTATTCTTTTTTGACACTATTGTAAATGAAGCTATTTTCTAAATTTCTTTTTTTGATTATTCATTGTTAGTGTTTAGAAATGCAAGTGATTTTTGTGTGTTGATTCTTTATCCTGCAACTTGGCTGAATTTGCTTATTAGTTCTAACAGCTTTTTGTGGAATCTTAAGGGTTTTCTACATACAAGATATGTTCTCTATGAACAGAGATAATTTTACTTCTTCCTTTCCAACTTGGATGCCTTTTATTTCATCTTCTTGCCTAACTGCTCTGACTAGACCTTCTAGTACTGTGTTGAATAAAAGTAGTAAAAGTGGGCATCCTTGTCTTATTTAGGAGTTTGCTTTTTAATTTAGTATAAATTATACTAAAGATAGATACAAAATGCTTTTCCTTTACATAATATTTGTTGGCATATCCCTTCCACTTTAGTCCCCTCGGCCTCCTGGGCTAACCCTGAACTTTTCATCAAGTCTGAAATTTTCAGTTCTAATTGTACTCTCCAATTCATTTCACTCTAAATCTCTTATTTGGCTTTATGGAAATCCTGAGTCCCTTGACTGATCTGCCTTCTCCCATTTTAGTTCATTTTGTCCACTCTCATGCAATTATCCTCATCTTCATTCCCATTCCCTGTTTTTCACCTGGCAAAATGCTAATTCTGATTACAGTTGCCTGCCTTCTATACATCTACACTCTGGGTCTGGGCAAAGCTAGAAAAAAAAATTACTCAGCCTGGATATTATCATAAATCATGGTATCCATCTTTAATTTTGACTGGCAAGTCTTACGGTCTTTCTTACTCTCACATTTTCCCTTATTTCACAGACAAAATAGAAGACCTCTTTATCTCCAACCTGTCTCTCAGCCAGTAGCTGCAGCAACATATATTTCTTGGACACCCCTCAGACACTTCAAATGCACAGTGTCTAACACTGAACTTACCATCTCTCAACAGCCACCGCCCCCGCCCCCCCGTAATTGGCATCAGCATCCACCCAGTACTCCAGGACTCATCCTTTATTCTTCTCTCATTTTCACACCCACTGAAGTCCTATAGGTTCTGCCTGCTAAGTGTACCTCAAATCTATCCACTTCTCTATTTCAGCATTGCCAACACACAAGCTTATTAAATTATTTCAGCAGCTCTCAACTATATCCCTGCTTCTAATCTTGATGTCCTTCGATACATTTCCCACTTTTCATCTGGAGATTCTTTCTAAAATGCTAATTTTCAGGGGCTTCCCTGGTGGCGCAGAGGTTGAGAATCCGCCTGCCAATGCAGGGGACACGGGTTCGAGCCTTGGTCCGGGAAGATCCCACATGCCGCGGAGCAACTGAGCCCGTGCGCCGCAACTACTGAGCCTCCGCTCTAGAGCCCGCGAGCCACAACTACTGAAGCTCGTGCGCCTAGAGCCCATGCTCTGCAACTAGAGAAGCCACTGCAATGAGAAGTCCACGCACTGCAATGAAGACCCAACACAGCCAAAAATAAATAAATAAATTAGGGAAAAAAAGAATGAAATGCTAATTTTCAAATGTTCTCTTGTTTACTTTTATTATTCTAAGGTAAAATCTAAATTTAATTTGCCCTATAAAACCCTTCATGATCTGGACCTTGCTTACCTCTCCACTTATTTCTCAGCACACTCCTAGCTTATGGTATGCTGAGTTCCACTGGTTCTGAAGAAC